CGGCGGAAGTTAAAAATTTTAAACCACATTTAAGTTTGTTCTTTCATAATTTTTTGTTCATTTATTATAAATGGAGGGCCTTGACCGCGCAGATGTAGGTTTACGGAACTTGACTTTTGCCTAAAGTTCCGTGAAAATGTTGCTAGTAGTGTTGACGGGGCTTTCCCAAAAAGTGTGTCCAACACGAGTAAACGCGTCTTATGCACCCCTCCCCCTCCGGCACGTTCACTTGATGGTTTCTATATTGATGTTTCAAAACGAATAAGAATGGGGCGGCAAAATACAGGCAGCTCATGGGCGGCAAGTAGATAAATCCGTCCCTGAGTTGAGGAGAGCACAAGGTCAATCAAGGCGAATATCAACGAGAGAAAAATGCGAATGCTAACACGCCAATTGTTATCAGGTGGTTAAAATCATCTTCCCGTGTTTTGGCGGATTGTCGTCGGCTATGTTGAATATTGCGTAGTATCTTTGTGAGCAGGGATTGGATGGAATGACTCCTCTAACGAAATGTTCACCTGTGCCGTGGTATCGTTTTTGAAGCGGGAAACTCGAAAAAACGCAAATTGTGAAGTAAGGGGTGCATTTCAGGCTTTGCCGATGCGCGCGCTTATCGTGATTTTTGAGACACTTTCCATGGTTAACAACCCTATTTTTGCTATAGCAAACGTTTGCAACAGGCCCATTAAACTTATTTTACTTGAATATGATGAAGGAGAGGCACATAACCTGGTTCTTTAAGTCATTTTCCATTGTTGTTATGTAGTTGAAAGACTTTGTGTATTCCTGGCTACTTACATGCATGCCCTTGTCTGGTGGATATTCAGCAGTGAAACCCACATTTTGAGCTTTTTTGGAGAGGTTGCCATGTATCAACAATTGAAAATGATTGATGATAACTGTTTTCAGCACAAGATTACGTTTTGCCAGCTGGTGCAACTGCGGTAATTTTTACATTCTTCACGCATCATGATACAGAACTTTGGCCAGATCCTAACACATTCAACCCGGATAATTTTACAGCTGAGAAAATGGCGAATAGACACAAGTATGCATTCATACCTTTTAGCGGTGGTGTTAGAAATTGTATTGGTAAGTCTACAAGAAAAACTAACATTACAAACTTTAGAGGGCATTGTGTTCTGGCCTTAATTTATTTATATTATATTATATTTATTCATATGGTGGAAAAATTTGTAGTAATTTGAAAGTTCTCTTGCCATGCCGACACAAGAGTTTAGAAAGCCTTTTTCCAGATGTCAAAGGCTATCGATAAAATTTTCATGAAATGAAAGTGTCACGAGTGCAGCAGAATGGGAGAAATGTGCTGATTTTAAAGAATAAATCAAACACAATACCAATGAGAGATTTCTGAGGGTTGTAGACTGAAAAATACAATGAAAGTTGGATCATAGAGCTTTTTCTGATGAATCCTGCACGTAAGGCCAAGCGCATATCCATATTTGTTTTGGCGAAAGAGTTAGAAAGAAGTCTACAGTCAGACATTTACACCAACCTACGGTCAGGTCAGAATTACGTGGTCTCGCGTTTTGGTTATCGATATTAGATAAAAACGAATCATATTGTGAGCAAACCTGATGTGCATTTATAGCTTCTTTCGAGTGTATTCAAGTGCACATTGTCCTGTCTATAATAATTACGTTTAATTGAGATAGTGCGTCTTTTTACCAATCATGCTAACGCCATTTTCCGATAAATCCTATTCCTGTCTACAGGTAACAAATATTCAATGATGGCCATGAAGACGACAATATCCATCTTTATACGGCAGTTTCGAGTGAGCACAACTAAAAAACTTGAGGATGTCGAAGTTTATTATGACGTTGTGCTTCGATGTAAGGGTGGTTGGAATATGAAACTTGAACAAAGAATAAATCAGAAATCCTAAAAATGTCCGTTTTGTTTATTGATTTCTCATCCTTGCAGTCTTTCATGACAAACTGTCCCGAAGACTCTCAAAGCTAACATTAAAACAGTGGCGACACGTATTAAAGGGAAAAAGGGGGCGGTCCCTCTCCAAAAGCCAAAAATAGTATAGATTCTAATTGCAAAATGGACGTGTTTAAATAGAACGGAGCTATACATCCATTCTGACAAGAGCCCTGAGATCCACACGAATATAATGATTACCGATACGAGTATAATTGAAAGAAAATCAAACCCTAACATTGAGGGTGAATCGTGAAATCTCGTTTGTAGTGTTTCCAAATCCCTGCAGAAAATCTATTCTATGAAAATTTGCAGACGATACCGTATATAACAAGACATAAACAAAGACATACATGAATTGTGCATATCGCTTAGTATGTCACCAGTAGAGAGAAACCAGTGGTTAATGACATGCGGGTGGAAATTGGTCAGTGTGCCATTGACTGACGACCCTATCGTCGTATTAAAGGGTCGATAACTTCAAGATATTAGTCTACTATCTATCAAGTCAATGGAATTTCTCAGAATTCACAGCCTCATTAAGTCACTCTTGGTTTCAGAGAAGGTCAAGGGCAATATCGTGTCTACTGTCCGTCTGGTTCGTCCAAGTTTAGCTGAGACATTTTTTCTCCTCCGAGCTGCTCTCCTTTTGCGAGAGTGAAGCATGTTACGTAATGGATCGATGATGTGCATAAAAGTGAATCCATGAAATTATAGATGAGAAAAACAGTTTTTTGTCGAATTAACGATGACGTTAAGATAAATGAACGGTACCGCCGCGCTGAAGAAAAACGCCGTATGAGCCTTCGATCGTTTCCACAATTCTTTTGATGAAACACGAATTTACTTAGAAAATCCTGAATATTTTTCTTCCGATTTTACAGAAGATTTTGCTCGCATTTTAATCTGAAATATCTGACAATATCAAGGAAAAATATGCATACCATTCCTCCAAAATAATCGTTTTAGGTAATAGAGGAAAATGTTGCAACTCTGGAATACACAAACCGTGTTTTTCCTTAGCACAGCAGTACAGCACAATGAAAATCGCTGTCAAACACAAACACAGATACTGACCGGCGGGCCGATTATTGAAACTGATAGACAAAGCGATAGACAAAGAAGACATAGGGGTATAGAGCGATCCTATTGGTTGACATGGTTGGTTCTTAAAGACTAAGGAAGAAAATGATGGATTAACTGTCGGGTCTTTGGTGGGTTGCAGTTAGGTAGTCCATTAACTACCTCCTATGTACATTTCCACCACCTGCTTCCACCAATAGGATCCCTCCAAATCCCTTTTGTCGTTTTTATCTATAGCTTTGTCTATCAGTTTCAATTATCGGCCCGCAGATGGGATGTTGACTCCCCCAAGTCCCTCAAACCACTCATCGTCTCATCATGCGGCGGACTGAACGGGAATCTCGCCCCGATAACCCTCGGCCTAGAGAACGCATTCTTCCTGGGCACAAAAGTGAAAGGCCTTATCGAAGGGGTCATTACCGGGGTGGATACCGTGCTCGGGAAATGACCATCCAAGGAATTGGTGTTCCCGTGGAACCCGGGCGGCGACTCCGGGAACTCATGCGCGGGCTTCTCGAAAGGATACGGCGCGGCGTGGACCTGGTCGGGTAGTCCGGCCCGAACGCCGGCTTGAAGAGTCCCTGTTTCGGGGGTGCCGGCACAGGGACCGGAGAGAGATCGGGGCTGTACTCCTCGACGGAGTGGTACACGTATGTACTTCGGAACGCTCTTCACGATTTTTTTGTTGGAATCGGTGGCTGTGATAGTTGCGGCACTTTTTGGCAGGCCTGATAGTTGATAGGGCGGAGGATTAGATGACTTCTAAAATAATGAATTGAAAAGTCATCGCTTAGACCCTTGAATACAACAATATGCCAGTTGATACAATATATACCTTTCAATTTCCACCTGCTTCAAGTCATTCATACAACTTGAAAACAAGTTGTTCATTTATCTTGTCACCTGACAACTTGAAAACAAGTTGTCAGGTGACAAGATAAATGAAACGCAGGAATGCTTTTGCCGCTTCTTTTGCCCGAAACGCAGATTTTCGTTCCTGCAACAAAAGCCGTGGCGGGAGATTTGAATTTCAACAACTTTGCAGTCTTGGCAGAAAACCATAACCAATATCACCTTCTGCTGTTGATACAAATGAACAAACAACCCTTTTCGAATATTAAATGAATTTTAGTTCTTCGCAAATTTTACTTGCTCTGAATTTGTTCATTTCAGCAGACGGTCATACTTGTTTTCGGAAGACTGCTGAAAAGTTGTTGAAATTCGAATCTCACGTCACGGCTCTGGTTTGCCCGAAACGCAGCTTTTTGTTCCTGCAACAAAAGCCGTGGCGGGAGATTTGAATTTCAACAACTTTGCAGTCTTGGCAGAAAACCATAACCAATATCACCTTCTGCTGTTGATACAAATGAACAAACAACCCTTTTCGAATATTAAATGAATTTTAGTTCTTCACAAATTTCGCTTGCTCTGAATTTGCTCATTTGAGCAGACGGTCATACTTGTTTTCGGAAGACTGCTGAAAAGTTGTTGAAATTCGAATCTCTCGCCACGGCTCTGGTGGCGCCGTGGAGAAGCTGTGTTTCGATCAAAGGGGTTGGCAAGAGCATACCTACGTTGCACTTACCTTTGTCAAGTAACGCTTTGAAATCTGCGATGAAATCACGCTTTTCTGGCTCTTACCCCTTCATCATTGGCAAGAACCCCTTTACGTGCAAGAACGTTTAACGACACCGTGGAGACAGAGCTAAATATGAGAGAGGAAAATAAAACTTGGTAAGATTAGCGTAATTTTAGGAGTGAAAGTAAAACTTTTCATCTGAAAGATCTTACCTCTACACGAAAAGAAGGCAAATGTGCGAGGAATAACGTTCTGAAAGACAACTTTTACATTAACGATCCAAGGTTCCTCGGCTATCTGGTTGAAATGCTCATCAAAACTCTTCAAGGTCTTGTTGATGGTTTTCATTCAATTTTATGCTTTTACAAGCCCACTTCAGATTCGAGATTTGCTCAGTAACAGGTCTCATTTCTCACTGTGGAAATATTCCAGTGATAGGTTCGAGTGCTCGGTCCAATGACGCAGTCCAGTAACAATATAGTGAGGAACATTGATGTGTGATTGTCGGTTTACCCCTTACAAAGTCAAACTCCGTGGTGGGAACTTATTGATTTTTTAGAAATATCTTGTTAGTGAATTTATCATATTTTTCAAATCGTTTGAATGTTTCTTCGTCTGGAAAAAGGTACGCATGTGAACCAATGAAATTATGATCATTTGAATACTTTTTAATCTGATATTATCATAATATAGTCGGACTTCAATATTTCAAATAAGGGAATCCAGCTTTTTAACTTCAACTCAAAACACCGTAGTGTTGATGTGTAGGTAATGTAAAATTCAAAACTTTATATCGAAGATGAACTCGCAAAAATGCGTAAACCTCGGTTACAGTGTTTCAAAATCTCCGCTCTTACTTTATATTTTAAAAAGAGACCCAACCAACACCGTGGCTTGAAATTTTCACAGAATATTCATCATGCAGAGAATAAAAGTTTTTTTTTTTTTTTTGTCAAGATGATTATTGATTAGGACATACCATAGTATATTTTGAGCAAATTTAGCCTTACTTTTCTCGAATTTCAAAAAAAGACACATCAACGTGCGTGTCGTGCGTTGAGAACTGCGCAGAGCTGCATCTATTCGTGCTTGATGGATGCCCGTGATGCGTTTGCAAAATTGAAGGCGCGATGGCATCTCGCAATGCTCTTCTCTATACTGCCAATGAGGTGTCGGCAGATTTGGGAGAAAAGTTAAAAAAAGAGGTCCGATTACATCATTCCTATTTTCGGCTGTGTTGACATTTGACCTTTTTTTTATTCTCAATTTGATGTCTGCTATTTCACGATGTATTTGTAGACCTACATCGTTAGCTCGTATGTATCCGCCCCACATGGCCTCATAAGCAAGTGTTTCTAGCAAGCCTCGGGTCAATTGGACCTCTCTCGGGCATCTGAGAGTTTCACAGAAGCATATCACCGAAAAAAAAGAGGTGCTGTAGCAGCATCCTGGATGTTAAAAAAATGTGCGACGACTCTTGAATGTTGTCATCACGACTCTGGCTGTTAGAGTTACATCCTAGGATGTTACTTTTACATCCTATCATGCTACGTTAACTGCCAGAGTGTTCATAGCAACATCCAAGAGTTGTCGCACATTTTTTTAACAACCGTTACATCTGGGATGTTATCAAAGCATCTTTTTTTTCGGTGTAGGTTATATTTAGCTGTGATACCTGAGCTGCAATATGTTTTTCTGCCAATGAAGGTTCTGAACGTCAAGTGTACATTTTCTTGTACATTTTCCCCCTTTATTCTGCTGATTTGATCATTTGTTATTTGTGATCGAATAGATGCTAACTATTGTATGGTATAGTCTTGGACTGAATGAAAGTACCCACGTCCTGTTCAGCATCATTTTTATTTGCGTGTGTCTTATTTGGGGTAGTCTAAAATGGCAGAACTATCATTTTGAGAAACTTGCTGCAACTTTTCCTGGGCCTAAATCTTTGCCTTTCATTGGTAATGCACTCGAGTTAATAGACAATAACCCAGAGGGTAAGTTGCTATTTAATTTTTATTTTTTTTTTATTTTATTTTATTTTTTTTTTTTTTTGTGATTTATTCCTCATGATTGACTCCGGGGAAAGACCTCAATGAAGGAGGACAACTTCTTCAAGGTAGAGATGTTTGTGGGAAAATAAAAAGTTCAATTTCATGAGAAATGACTGTCTCCTAATCCAAGGACGAGTATACAAACATAGTTTAGTTCAAAGTTGTGTCATATTTAGATGCCTTAAGTCCTTTAAGTCGGATATGAAAAATATTAATAGCTTTTTCTGAGAACCAAATTTTCTGAACAGTAAACTTCTAATTGTTATGATTCCGATTAGGCTTAATATTTTTAGTTGAGATCTGTGCGAAAATGTGTACCATCGTCTCAATTTTGATTTTTTAAGAACGAAGACCCATTTCTCCCTACAAGATCACTCATCTAATAACATCCACAGATTTTTTCACCCAAGCTTTATAACCTACTTTAGCATTGAAAAAAGGTAGATATCAAAAATAATAGCTTAGACCTCAATGTTCCCCGGAAGTTTTGAAGATGGCAGAGTTTACAAAAAATATGGAAAGCTTATCTTAGGTTATGACCCAGCTAGAGGGTTATTAGAGCTACATTGAAAGAGCAAATTTGCAACCAAACCTCAGTACTTACAGAAGTATAAGTTACATGCATTCGATATAACTTTAAAGCGGAGTATAACTAAATTATAACCGACCACATTTTCCAGTTTCTGATGTCCATAATTTAAGTCAATTCTGTAATTATTTTTTGTATTTATTATTTATTATTATTGAGTAGACGTTCATATGTTGGAAATTTTTAGATATTCTATGGAACCTGCGTAATCTTAGTAAAACATACAAGTCACCATTCAGATTGTGGCTTGGAGGAAAACTGTGCGTGTTCATCACAAAACCAGAGGATCTTCAGGTGAGAAAATTCATAAAGGTGCTAAATAAATTAAGCCAAACTAAAGTTTAAAAACAGCCAACCTATCATTTTTAAATAATGAGTAATTTGAAATAAATATTTGTTGAAATTCAATGATTTCATCAATTTGAAATACAGTTAGGGTTTGTGACTTATGGATTAATTCAAAGCCCCACAGCCGCACACATATTTAAACATAGTGAAAAGCTTGTTCCTCGAAAGTGAGGGAATTTTGATGGATTATCGACAGTTTTCTTATAGATGTATCCTTATCAAGTTAAGGTATTTAAGTCGAGTAAGGATCAAAATTTACTAAATTGCACCACTTTCTCGGAAAAAACAATTCTTCGGCAAAATTTGATAATACAACTTGAGCGGGATGTTTCACTCGCAGTTTAACTTGATATACCGTTACGTGAAATCCACTGCGTTCCCTTTACGGAAATCGTTGCTCCTCCAAAGTAAGGGCGTATCTCAATTTCTACGTGAGCCCGGCTCTACATGAAAATCCATGTTTTCTGGCGCTCTTGCCAAAATCGAAATACACCTTTACACCAGAGGAGCGACGAAATATTACGGGATGGGGGGGGNGGGGGGGGGTATTTGACTGAATTCTCAACTTCATGAGTACATTATGAGCACATGTTCACATATGAGTACACGCTTCAAAATCCATGGATATCAGCCGCAAACTCCTGAAAATAGAGCACAATCAAACTTTGAAATTACCATAAACAACGACCATTACGTAGTTCTCAACATAGGAGAACACCTGAAATGCTAGAGCCTAAAGTCTTTGTTATATCAGGAGTGTCAATACTAAAAAAAAAAAAAAAAAAAAAAAAAAAAAAAAAAAAAAAAAAAAAAAAAAAAANAAAAAAAAAAAAAAAAAAAAAAAAAAAAAAAACTGCTGAGGATTTAACAGAGTTGCCCGCCTTTATTCCATAACTCGGCAAAAGGCATACATTCCTCTTTTTTTTATGCAACACGGCGCAGCGTGCGATGATGATCTCATGATAACTCAGAACTTTGGTTTGAGAGCCATATATTTATTAGAGTTGCTTGTTTGTGTTGGAAGTTTGAGAGTCTCCTCTCCCAATTTTTCTTCTTCAGAATTCTAGTTTTAATTTAAACAAGTTGGTTTTTGCAATCGCTAGCGATAGCAATATTCGTCATGGGAACTTTTGCTTCTGGGATATGAAAATGTTAAGGTACAGTTCGTTTGTAGTATCTTCAGAATTGAAGGGGCTATGTAATTTTGTGTCGACATCTCTTTTTTAACAATTTTAATTTTTTTTCTTTGCATACAAGAAAGCTGTTATTTACCAATTATTTATTTTCGTTGGATTATGTATGGTTTTTGGAAGTTAACGCATTTAACTTTCAGTTTCGTTTTTTCGGCGTAAAGTATGATATTTTTACTCTACGCATATGCCCGAATACGCATCATAACGACGGTGAAACTACCAAACCACGTATCTCGTTTGCGGTGTTTAAAAATCTCCGCTCACATTTTATTTTTTTGAAGTAGACCAAATCAATATCATTCCTTGAAATTTTCACAGAATTTTCTCCGCACGAAGAGGAAAAATCACGGAAATTTTCAAGACTGGACGTTAAGTAGCTTTTCATTTAAAAAATAAAGTATGACAGGAAGTCTGCGACGTCGCAAACCGAGATACGTGGTTTGGTAGTTTCACCGTCGATAAGTGACCTATGTGCTTCCTAAGTTGCCATTTTTTTCATTCAAATAGATGTAACCGAAATGTTAGATGTGTACTACCTATACTACTTTCATGTCATTGCTTTATTTATTTATTTACTTTTTGCGTAGGTATAAATTGTTATTTTTTGCTGAATTTTGGAGAAAATATTGCTTTAAGAACGTGGAATGTAAATTAATTTTATTGAAAAAAGAAAATACCATCATTAATTTGGGCGAACAGAGAAAATATACATCAATATTTGGGTCAACATCTCCCTGATTATATAAAGGATGAATATATTAGTATTTCTGTATCAAAAAACTTAGCTTTTGTCTTCAGAGATACGATGATTCTAGTCCCAGTCAATTTGTTTTATTGAAAAAACAAAAAAACAAAAAATAAATAAAAAAAAAAAAAAAACTGAAATGTCAGACATACTATTTTCATGTCTTTCTATTTGTATCAATAGGTACTTTTTGCTTAACTTACGAACGTTGAATGCAAATTAACTTTATTGAAAAAAGAAAATAACGTCATTAATTTGGGGGAACATGTGGCTGATTATATGAAGGAGGTATATTCCAGTATTTTTGTTTAACATATTAACTCACGAGAAAATGTTCGTACATTTATCATCTACTATTAATTATTTTTTGATGATTAGTCTAAAACATTCAATACAACCATTAAAAAGTAGTTCCCATCGTCGGGTATCGAACTCCCGATCGCCGGGTGCCCGCACCGAATCAAAAATACGAGGCGGTTTAGTCAACTAGGCTATAATGGATCCACGTGGGCGAGAGTAAAAATAGCATACAAAAGACTCGGGCAATGGGCGGGACTTATCACAAGAGACCTTGACTGCTTTTGGGATGATATGAAGCGCATTGCTGTTTTGCTGTAGGAGCCATGGTTCGCACTGTTTTAATGCGTCTCGAGGTTCATGCCAGCACGCATTCCGATCGCGGCAGTTGAGCTAAGGCAATATTTGCGTATCCATGAATTAAATCAATCAATCGAGCTCTGATTTTGACTTCTTTATCCGTAACGAGTCCTCCAGAACAATTTTCCACCTTGTACGATGGTTATTATTTCTTTACTTCTATTTTTCAAATTTGAGGTGGGATAATGGCGGCTTCTCAAGAACACCGAGGTAGGCGATCTTTTGCACCAACGAACAGAAAACTGATGGCGAAAAATAACCAATCAGAACCTCCCAAAAAAAAAGAATTTGCCTAAAAACGGAACTTCGTGGTTCTGTGCAGATTTACCAGTCAGACACGACATCTTAAGGTGGAAAAAAACTCGCTGAAAGCGAATTTTAGCAATCAACACAACTTGACGTAGAGACATGATTGGCTAAAAAATACAACGGTTTTTGATACATCGGAAAATCAACCAAAAATCGGAGACTGGGCGAAACGCTCAAGGTCGCAGAGGTATAGGGAATCCCATAGCGATAGCAACGGAACGATTGTAATATCATGGGGAACTCCGTTCCCATGACAAAAAAGTTTCCAGCGAGGCATTTTAATTTATATAAGTATTCTTTCTACAAGGGATGTGTGTGTTTTTTTTTAAATTTAATGTATTCTTTCAGATTATTTTCAACAGTCCCAAAACCTTAGAAAAAGATGCATTGTACGGCTTCCTTGAAAAAGCAGTGGGTACTGGACTGGGTACCGCGCCAGGTAAGGGCATACAATTGCAAATGTTTACATTCAAAAATCAGTAATTCCAATGTTAAAAGTAGAATGAGGACCATCATTAGTTCATCCTTAATAGTTATCCTAGGATGTTCACCTCATAATTTCTCTTAACTGTTCCAAAATCGGGTCCAGGATTGCACACAAGGAAGGTTGGGCAGAATTCGAAAGAAGAAGGGTCAAAGTACCCTTTAAAATTGGGGCAGATAGGAAGGAACGGAAAGTTGGCATTCACTGAAAAAAAAGGAGCTTGGATCAAGCATGATAATTCTTGAATTTGCCGCCAAAAATTTTCTTTATCTTGCTTTAAGCTGACTTTTTCTTGATTCAAGAAAAATAATGCTTGGGTTAAGCAAAAAAGTAGCTTAAATTAACCAGCAAAATTCTTGATTTAAGAAAGAAATACTTCTTGGCGGCAAATTTAAGATTCTTCTTTTTCCAGTGTGCTGGGGATGGAATTTGAGTACCTAATTTGGCCGGAAGAATGGGCACTGGCTCTGCCCATAGCTCCGGACCTAAGTGGCTCATTATTATTTTTGAAGAAACGTATGTAATTAACACCGAACGTTGCCTACAAATCCTTGAAGATATTGAGTGCAAACGAATAGGCTTTGATTTTATTAATTGTTCATTTCAGTCACTAAATGGAAGAGAACCCGGAAAGCGTTGGCTCCTTATTTTTCTCCCAAAATTCTAACCAGTTTCGTGCCTGTCATGAATGAAAGAGCAAACATCATCGTCCAAAACATTCAATGCCATTGTGGAACGGGTGCTGAGGTAGATATTTTTCCGTACTTTATGCCGGCTGCATTGGATACAGTCTGCGGTAAGTTGGTTAATAAGTTAATTTACAATGATCACCATCACGACTATTAAGACGCGATTCAAAGCCGGGAAGCTTCCGCCTGGTTCCGTACGGCGGCATTGCTTCCCCAAAACCATTGATTTATTATAAATTATAGAAATTTATATAAAAAAAGGATTAAGCTATCGAGTTGGAGTTTTACATGGCATAATGTGAGGTAGGATTCGCAGAAATCACAAGAGGCAAAGCCGAGAGGGAGGGTATTGATGCGTGGATAAGGCTTTCTGGCCTATCTTGACATTTGAAGGCAAAAAAACAATTAGCCTGGTAAAAATATCTGCACCTTTTGGGTCGTATTCACTTATTCTAAATACTCCAAAATAACTATAACAGTTGCAATGAAACAGTTAGTAGCACCTTACACGGAAAAAAATAGGGTAGTCGACACAATCAGCGGCTAGTTAAAAATGCGCCAGCTACTGTTCGGTAGTTACGATAACTACCGCACGTTAGCTAGCGCATTTTTAACTAGCCGCTGGTTGTGTCGACTACCCTATTTTTTCCGTGTATTTACAAAAAAAATAGCCTGTAAAATTTCGCTTCCTCTTCTGTTTTCGTTTTTCTTCAACAGGAATTATCCTCTCAATCATTATTTTCCTCTAAAATGTCTTAGAAATACGTTTCTACCTTCAACCTTTCTAAAGTATTGGTTCCGCAAACGATAGATTTATAAGTTTCCAAACTCCCCCCCATCAAAAAAAAAATATATATATATATAATAGTTAGTTAGTTAATTTTGGATAGAAGATATAAAGAGGTCCTTATACGTACATGAGTCGCTTTCACAGCGCTATGCGTCGCCTAAACACCACTTAAACTCGATACTCCCAAAACCCCTGGTGAAAATTGGCGATAAGAGCTGCGTTTCAAAATACCGTAGGAATTCTTATAGCCGGCTAAAGAAGGCTACAGAAAATCATATAGCTGGCTGTAGAATGCGGAGAAAATCATACGGCCGCGCTATACGAAGCGATAAAAAATTATACAGCCGGGCTATAGTTCCTATCGCCGGGCTTTACACTTTATCGCCTGGCTGTTGCTTTTTCGCCATCGATCATAAAAGGCTGTAAGAAATTGTGTAGAAATTCGTGTGCTTTGGAAATCATTGAGTTTGATACGGAACCACCTGAATATTTACAAAACACACATTATATTTTCCTTTGATACATATTTTTTTTCATCAATTGAAATGAGAATAATCCATACAGGATGTGCAAACATTTCAAAATCATGAGTTGAATAACGCTGACTCCGCCAGATTAAACATTAGAGCCTAACACAAAGCGGAGCGGCGCGGCGACGCACTGGCGCCTACAAACCTAACAGGGATACTTCACGCATTGAGCAACGCGTGAAGTATCCCTGTTAGGTTTGTAGGCGCCAATGCGCGTTTCGCGCTGGCTGCCCGCCTGCCGCGCCGCAGCGTGCCACGGCGTTTGAAGCAACTATTTCACACCAGAGGTATTGCACAGTATCATACGAAACTGAAGGCGCTTTAATCTATTAGGAATGGCAGACATCCATCAAAAGCACGGAGCTTTCCTCGCAAAATAAATCAAGATACTACGGCCCAAAAAGAGAGCAGTGGTCCAAAAACTCACTAAATTCTAGCATCCGTAATTAGTAACGTTTAGCATACACTTTGTCGCCTGGCTGTTGCTTAGTCGCCATCGTCTATAAACAGCTATAAGAAATTGTGTAGCCGGCTATAGAGGCTATTGGAAATCGTACAGCCGGCTGTAGGTCTATGGTGTTTTGGAACACAGATTCTACTGCCAATTTTTACCAGGGACGTGAGGCTCTTAGAAAAATGCGTAATATGCTCATGCATGATAAAATAGTATTTCATGTAGCTGTAACTGTTTACATCCAAAATGGTTTGGTGTATTTCAAAGTATCGTGGTATCGTGGTAAAGTATCTTCCATTGAGTACCACATGTCAGAGAAACATCCGACTAACCAATGAAGTAATGGTGACTTACTTTCAGAATCGGCTTTTGGAGTCAAAATCAATACTCAGCTGGGTCAGAATTCAAGTTTCTCTGAGTCTCTGTTCCGGTAAGAGTTTCATGCCTTAATTCATTTTAACTTTTTAGCAAAATATATTCCACAAAAAGTGGCAAATATTACTATTACCATTTCAATACATCTGCTGGAGCTAAAAACTCTTCCTATCTCTCCTCTCAGCCTTGCAATTGCACTAATATATCGTTTGAGTTTAATTTTTGACTCTCATGCTATAATATTCGGAAATTTTTAGCCTTAATTGCTCCGGAGAATAGTATATATTGGCTGAGCACTATTCCACCATCCTGTTAGTGGCAAATATCTTCAATGCCGATAAAATGTTTGAATAAATATGATTTAAAAATACTAGCCTCTTGACCTTATGAAATTATCATAATTCAAATTTAATATTTTATTTAGGGTGAGCGAGCTTCTAGCGGCACGATTGTATAAACCCTGGCTTCATATGGACTGGATCTACGAGAAAACAAGCTATGCAAAGGAATTGAACATTGAGTGCGAGGCTGTGCGTCGGTTTGTCTATAATGTACGTATGCTCCTGCTCCATTGTGTGATTTTTTTCGTAGAACGTGACAAGAGCTAAAAAATTGGATAACTTAAAATTATATTTGTTGATCTTCTAGGTTATTCAAGAAAGGAGAAAGACAATTAGGAAGACGAACTCTTCTTCAGGTAAATACATTTCTCTTGATGTCATTCATTTTAAGTTTCATATTGTTCGTGTATACTTGACTTGTGTTACTTGTCAAAATCAAAATCCTTAACTGTTAAGAGCACCAGAGCCGGATTTACTTACTTGCCGCCTGTATTTTGCCACCCCCTTCTCATTCGTTTTGAAACACCAATAAAAACCATCAGGTGAACGTGCCGGAGGAGGAGGATTGCATAAGACGCGTTTACTCGTGTTAAACAAACTTTTTGGGAAAGCCCCGTCAACACTACTAGCAAAATTCTCACGGAACTTTAGGCGAAAATCAAGTTCTGTAAGCCTACATCTGTATGGACAAGGCCTTCCATTTATAATAAAAGAACAAAAAAAATTATGAAAGAACAAACATAAATGTGGTTTCGTAATTTTAACTTCCGCCATCGGGCCGCGCTGACCGCTATGTGTTTGGCGCAATGCGTAAAATATTCCTACAGTCTTACATGCGCTATGCGTTTCGGACCGACCGCTGCTGCACGCACTGTGTTTGACGCAATGCGAGAAGTATTCATACAGTCTTGTAGGCGCTATGCGTTTCACGCTGCCCGCTGCTGACCGCAGCGACCGCATTGTCATTGGCGCAATGCATGAAGTATTCGTGCAGTCTTGTAGGCGCTAAAATATGTTACATGCCGACCGCCGCGCCGAGGGTTTCTCTTTTTCATCTCACGTTCTCGTCATCATTGCTCTTTGCGCCTCGCCGTTTCAGGCCAAATTCCGTGTTTGGTTTCTCTCTTAGTCTTAACTCGACTATAATTAAAGGTGCTGTCTATTGTATCACAGAAGGACGACAAAATTAGAGATATACTCTCAGGAAATGAGAGATTTTGTCACCTTTTCTCGTTCATGATTTTTTTTCTGAATCCGATTTTTTTTTTATAGCTACATTTAAAAAATTGCAAAATTTGCCGCCATGGGCCGCGGCCCATGTGGCCACCCCCTTTCCGGCCCTGAAGAGCACTGAACTGTAATATATGCATATCAACGAATCTTAAACAGGCGGTGATGTGGATGGTGAAATTGGGCATATTTAAGCTGAAAGGAACTATACTGCGCGCAAACCCTTTGAACATAATTCTTTATACCATAAATGCATACAGCTCTTGGGCTAAGCGTAAAAATAAAGAGAAAAAATATAAGATGTGCTTTCAATTCAGAGCATCATAATGTGTTTTCAAACTACGGCATGGCCTATTTTGATACAACCCCAGAAAGCATTGAAATTGATAAATTGATATGTAAATGAAATCCTACAAAATAACGATACAAATCATAAATAAACTTTGCAAATATTAGTATCAAAAATCACAATCAATAAGACATTTCCTTCGATCAATATCTACAGGGTGAGTGCCTCCCTTCAAAAGCGACCATGTGCGGTTGCCGTTGACATCTTATCTTTACTTTTTTGCACGAGGTTTGTAGGAAAATGATTTTCTTGGTATAAAATCGAGATATCTGATAATATTTTATCTTTCTTCCAGACCAAACTCCTGTTACTAATGCCAACATACATAGCAATCTCAGTTCGAGGTATTTATTAGATGCAATGTATGGTTCTCACGAAAATGGCTCTTTCAGTTTTTCAAGCCGAGACATGATAGATGAGGCACTTACATTTTTATTCGCGGTGAGTTAAAACAACTTAGACTTCATTTTGCAATAAGTGACTAGTATTTCTGCCTCATCCATTACAGCACAATTACTCCCATGGTAAACAAATGGCATCGGAGCTTTGATGAGTGGAAATTGAGTCAAAAATATTGGCACGCACATTCTTCCGGAAATGAGCCTGAAATAATAGTCCCTTTTGCGAAAATTAGTCCGTTTACGATATCAACCTCGTAAGGTGAAAAATTACCATAATTTATTTCCCGGAGTATCAAATATCCTTAATAGGACAAGACATTTTCAACGCTGCAACACTTGGTCTCATATTTTTCCCTATCGTCCAGTGTCACAGAAGAATAGAAAAGCGCTGTCTATACCGTTGCAAATGTTTAACATTTTCAAAACACACAACTATTTCACTTCATAAACTTTCAGGAATTCAGCAGCTACCCTCCAGTTGGGGTCGCCTTCAATTTCACCGCATAGGCAACAAACATACAGGAAATCGCGAATATATATTTTGCAACTAGAAACTACAATTTAAGGCTCATTCTTAAAAATACAAATGTGCACAGGGATTTTAATGGTACAGACGTTGTTCCTAAATCGAGTGCGAAATTACAGTTCTTAACTGCAAAATTTATTCCACTTATTCGTAAAATAGTCATTTTTATACAATTTTCTTTTTTCTAAATCTCAGGGTTGATAGAAAGGCGTGTTTAGGAAACGCAAAAATAAGGAGCATTATGATTTTCAACTTTACTTAATCTTTCCTTAATTGTATATTTTTCTAAGAAATGTCGGGTAAATTTTATTTTCGGTATGTTTTTCTTCATCTAAACCCACGTTCAATGTTTTTTTTCTTCCTGCAGGGCAGTGAATCGACTGCACTGACGAATTGCTTTTGTCTGCTAATGCTTGCAATGCACCCAGAAATTCAGGTAAAACCTAAATCTATAATTTTGGCATGTGGTAGGAACAAGAGTTGCGTTCAAAACAAAATGACGATACGAACTATTTTGTGCTTAAACTTTGTTCACCAAAAGAAGCAAAAAATAGAGAACTTTTTTGCTGGTCGATGACGTGTGCGTATTTGATCACAAAAAATTATTGAGGTGACACAGTCTAGACAGACGAAACCCTCGAGCAGGAGATTAATGGATGACAATGAAATAAAATAAATCGTTTGAATTTATAAATGTTGAATGTCAATGGCATCCGTGCCAAGCAAGTATCTCAGTTTGTTTTATGTTTCATTCATCCGAGTTTTTTTTTTTTCATTTTCTATTTTTTTTTAAAATTTCAATTAAAAATTTGGGTGTCATTTGTCCAAAAACCATGCGATTTTCAGTTTTTATTTTAGTTTCATTAATAATTAAATCTGTTGTTTACTGTTTTGTACTGTGCTTGTTTTGCTTTTTGAGTTAATTATCTGAATCTGGATCGTTCACAATATTTTTCATTGAAGCCGTGGTACCTTCATCCGGTGTTTCAAATTATATATTCTCTCGCTGTGCAATATGGCAAGGAGATCAACACGATTTCCGCTTGGACGTCCTATTTATCGATTACCCATGTTATCACAAAGATCCAGCCAAATGTTGACAGATCTTATTGAAATTTTGGAAATTAGTGAATATTGTTCAATATTGGTGCATTAAAGGTGACAAGCAAAGCTACATCTGCCTGCATTTGAAGATATACCTATACACAGTATTTACTTTACCAAAATACACCATCTTGTCCTGAATTATTTTCTTGATGAATGCACGTAAATCTCACTGGATTTTAATGTAAAAATAACTGAAATGTCTTTTTCTGAACACAGGAAAAAGTTTTTAAGGAACAGTACGGTATTTTTGGGAATGAAAACAGACCTGTTACAACTGAGGATATAGATAAGATGGAATATACTGAGCAAGTTATCAAAGAGACTCTTCGTCTGTTTCCAACACTACCTTTCATTCTCAGATCAATAGAAGAAGACATTAAAATAAGTGAGTAGAATAAGTGAACCGCATGTCACCGTGACCGCAAAGTCACGTTTTTAAGCAAGATTTTTTTTTTTTTTTTTGGTTGCCTCTTAGACCAACGATTGGTCTAGTAACGTTTCTCTCTAAAAAATGCCATAGATTCACTCGGCTCAAAGCTATTGCCTAACAATTTTTAATAATGACTCCACGTCCTCTTTAATTATTTTAATAGTCGAGTAAACAAATTGTTAATTTTAGCAAAATTTTCCGTCATTAAAATAACTCATAGTTTCTTATTTACATGTCTATTTTGAAGAAATTATTTTTCTCGATATCGCCATTCACTCTTACATTCACACTCTTTCTTAAAGGTACCCTCTACTATACTAGGGATTTTCCGATGGAATACTTCAGCGTTATTTTGAATTTCTAGTGTCATAACAAGGACCGATAATAAATAGGAAATTTAAAATAATGCTTAATCTGCTGGCTTGAAGGAAGGGGATCGATGTTTCTGTTTATATTTTCTACGGAGCTTTGATGAGTAGAAATTGAGTCAATAATATTCACTCTTGTTTTGCAGCACAAGAACATATTCTGCCAGCAGGTTCAACGGCAGTGATTGCGCCATTACTGACTCATTATGATTCAACACTTTGGAAACAACCGAAGCAATTCAATCCAGAAAATTTTTCAACCGAGAATGTGGAGAGGAGACACAAGTATTCATTCATAGCTTTTAGCGGTGGTGCAAGAGGATGTATCGGTAAGAAAAACTGTATTCATGGTTTTTTACAGATTTTTTATTTTTCACTTTATTTATTTTCTTATTTTTAGAGCATTTCGCTCAGAATGTCCATAAAGTTTTCCTACAAAGCATATGTGATCTCCCCATTTTCTAGTCATAGGGAATCACGGATGTTGCTCATGATGGTTATACTTCCTGACATTTTCTGGTAAGTGGTAACCAACTGAAGAGCCTCGGATGCGTCTATTTTTATAACATGATACATGAATAGTTATGAGGTCGTCGGAAAATATTCAGAGTATTTCAGTCAAATCATCAGGAATACAAGAACACTTTTACAGAAACTTCGTAAGGGGAACGGCACAAGGGGAGGAGCCAATGGAAATACAGTGTCATAGAACCTCATTCTTTTTACTCATAAATGCAACCTGATGGTGCATGAGCACAAATATGATCGATGTCTCAAGGCGCGAAGTCTTAAGGCTACTTATGGAAGATTCTTTCATAAGTAGCTCAGGGCCGGATTAAGGGGGTGGCCACATGCGCCACGGCCCATGGCGGCAAATTTAGGGGGCGGCAAATTTTGCAATTTTTTTAAATGTAGGTATAAAAAAAATCGGACTCAGAAAAAAAATTATCAATGAGAAAAGGTAACAAATCTCTTTTTCCTGAGAGTATAGTAATTTCAAATTTCGTCGTTTTTCGTTGATACAAGAGACAGCATCTTTAATTAGTCGAGTTAAGAGAGAAACTGACCACGCAATTCGGCCTGGAGCTCAGCGCAGAGAGGAATGATGACGGGGACTAGAGTTGAAAAGGACAAGCCCTCACACATATTAGCGCCTACAAGACTGCATGAATACTTCACGCATTGCGCCAAACACAGTGCGTTCAGCAGCGGTCGTCGTCGGCGAGAAACTCATAGCGCCTACAAGACTGCAGGAATACTTCACGCATTGCGCCAAACACAGTGTGATCAGCGCAGCGCAGCGGCGGAAGTTAAAATTATTAAACCACATTTATGTTTGTTCCCTCATAATTTTTTGTTTCATTTCTTTTAAGTGGAAGCACTTGTCAACACAGAGATAGGTTTACAGAACTTAGCTTTCGCGTCAAGTTCCGTGAAATTTTGCTTAGTAGTGTTGACAGAGCTTTCGCAAAAAATGTATCCAACACGAGTAGGTAAACGCGTCTTATGCACCCCTCCCCCTCCGGCACGTTCACTTGATGGTTTTTATTGATGTTTAAAAACGAATGATAAGGAGGCGGCAAGTAGGTAATCCGGCCCTGTGAAGGCGGAGAATGGGAAAAGTATTTTTGTTTCAGTAGTGTTTTCATTGTATTTTATCGATCAATATGTGTCCTCTTTCAGGTACCAAGTATGGAATGATGGCCATGAAGACGACGATATCAATTTTCATTCGTCATTTCACCGTGTCCACGATTATTGGATTGAAAAATATTAAACTAACTGCCGACCTGTTACTTAGAAACAAACACGGATGGATCATGAAGCTGGAACCAAGAGTGTACAAAAAATCCAGACAGAGGAGTTAAAATCATTATTTTCAAGTCCCCATTGGACAGAAACATTTCCACAGGGAAACGCATGATAAAATAAATACGCGAGATCCTTCGACTTTCGTCAGGAACGCATTTACGATGGAAAATATATTTGGAAGCTCATTGAATAATAAACTTTCCGCTCGATTGCTGAAGCTGAGCCAAAAATAAGTTCACGTATCCAATTTCTTTACAAATAATATTCTGAGATGCATTCTACTGAAAGTAACTGATCTTCCATTTTTATTTTATTTATATATTATGTATTTTTATAATGTTCGTATACTGACATTGTGACAATAAAGCATAATTTAGTTTTCTGGTCGAAATACATTTTTCACGAGGAGAAACTGATAGTCTATGTAGACTGATTCATGACATTTTTTCCTAGGATGACCGCAAAGTGTTTCGTGTATTACGTGCCTCCTTTCGGTCGAATAAAATCGTAGTGAAGATCATCTTAGACCATTATTTCGTCACCTCTCGGTCAAAGTATCACAAGCGCCATGCGACGTTTAAAAATTTCCGCAGCCACTTTACTTTTTTGCAGAGATTTGGTTTTTTGAATCTGTTTGAAAATTTCACTAAATTTTCGGCAGCTCGAAGGAAATTCAGTGACATTTTCGGACAACTTCAACCAACAATTTCTCCGTAAAAAGTAAAATTGCGGCGGAAAGTTTTAAACTTCGAATGACGCTTATGATACTTTGGCCGAGAGGTGACGATTCAGCCCCTAAGTATAACTCCGTATGAGCGTTTTAATGAGCCAAATACATTATTAGACTAATAGGGGCACGTGAAGAGGAATCGCAGCTCTTAACGCTCTTGTGCGACTCAAGGCTTAACTTTGCAAATTCTATAAGTTACAATGTTTCTTGTGTGGTAAAAAATATTCCGGTCCTTTTAACGAGGCAACATTTTTTACCAAGACCGACGCATCTCTCTTTTGACCGAAATACTTTTTGTCAAAAGGGTAAAATTTTGGCAGACAATGTAACATTTTTTGTTGGGCATGAAATCAGGCAGTTTAAGCATTGTAAGATCTATGATATACCTTTTCTAAGTACGGGAGCCCTACCTTAAATTAAATCAGATTTCATTCAATGGCCAGAACTGAAGAATTTGGATCACTAGACAAAATGCGGATCTAAGTATTGAGATTTATGTATTCTATCAATATGTCACGTAGAAAATAATTTATGCGATGAAAATGATTAAAAGTGACTCCTAACAAGATATTAAAGTTTTTTGATGCAAGAGTTTAAACTTCCTGCTCATAAAACAAACCATGATTTACTTAAGTTAAATCGCACATTAAACGTCACCCCTGACATTCTCTTGTGGTATGAGAATATGATAATCTCCATCTCGGCGCCTCGGCTCAGCTGTCGCACGTTTTTTACACTGTAAGCAACACAGGATGAGGAAGAAACAAGAAGCCTGACAAAGCCCTTATAGTGCGCGATTTGCTCGCGTAGACTCTGGCTTTTCTTGCAAGTGGAAAATTCTAATTTTTCGTGACTAGATAATGATAATTTCTAGTATGATAGTAGTTATGCTTATGATAGTAGTTTATGATATTTTTAGTAGTCTCTATGATAAATTCACCAGTATCTGCATGGTTATGAGGTTTTTGCCACTTTTCCTTTAAGGAGGAACCACTGTGCGCCGTCGATTTGCTCCTTATCTTTGCATAGAAAGTTTAGTTTAATAAAAAAGTAGATTCTCAGGAAAGCGGGGTTATCTCCTTCAATACGGCCTTAACATTGAGTTTTCTTTTCTTTTTTTTTTTTTAGTTTTGTCCTTGTAACATGATTCATGCGACTCGCATGAATCGTGTTTTACGTAAGATTTAAAGGAGAAAACATACAGGGTGATCCAGATCACTCGTCCACTATCTTTTTCTCAAAAAAGGAGGAAAATTGAGCTTCGGGACAAAAAACATTCATGGGTTAAATCGAACCCAAAGAAGCGAATGAAAATATGTTTAGCCCCCCCGTATCTCGCGATTTTCAAGTAGGAAGGGTATGTTTTGACTTTGGATTCGGATTCAACGGCAAAAAATAAGATCATTTTGTTTTTTGCACTTTTCCCCTAAACCATCATTTCTTGGAGTTATGGGGTATTTTCGAGGCAATTTTTAATTCGATGCTGTAAGCGGCCAAATTATTCAAATTTCAAAATCTAAAAGTCTCCTGAGAGGAGAGATCAATACCGTTTTATTGATGTGCCAAATGACCCCTGTTGCTCCAAAATTTTGGGGGCCACGACCCCCCAAAAGTTTCGGGGCTTTGGAGGGCCGTAAGTCAGAAAATTTCAAATAGCAAGGGTATGTTTTGACTTCAGATATGGTTTTTACGCGAAAATTTACGTAGAATTGATGTGACGCATGGCCTGTTTGCTTCAAATTTTTTTAGCCTCTTACTTTCTCCCAAAATACACGGCTTAGTATGGAGAAATGGGGTTCTTCAGTAATTTAGAGCAAACAGGTCGTGCGCCACATCAATTCCACGTAATTTTTCGCGTATAATAAAGTAAAAACATACCCTTCCTATTTGTAAATCTAGAGAAAAGGGGGGCCCCCAAAAAATACCCCCAAGGGGCCATTTTGGGGGGCTGAAAATATTTTCATTCGATTTTTTGGGGTCAATTTACCCCATGAAAATGTTTGTCCCGAAGCTCAATTTTCCGCCGTTTTCGAGAAAAAGATAGTGGACAAGTAGTCTGGATCACCCTGTATGCCAGAGAATTCAAATTTGTACCTTACCTAATGATTACTGAAGTCAATCTTTTTTAGGGAGCAATGAAACTACCTCGAGTGCACTCACAAAAACGAGAAAGTAATAATCTACGGATACTGCACTGATAAAACCCAATGTTCCACGAAAACGATAAAAAAGTGAATCAGTTGACCCCTCCATGGTCAAATCCTATTTTCAGTAATTGATTATTGGCAATTGTCAGTTTATCAAGTTGAGTTGGCGAACTGTGTCCACCGCTAGCGGAATTATGTTCGGAGTGCGTTAATGCCTTAAATAATATCGGAAGCAGTTTTATGAAAAAGTGATTTTCTCATTATCAATTTATGTTTAAGTCATCGCTGGTTCTATTCATCTGTCACGTTATAATGTAGTTTCCTATTTATTTATTATTTACTGAATTCGCATTTTGAAAAATGAATATACTGTCGACTACCGCGCATGGAGGTGTATCTACATTTTTACGATTTTTCAGGAGAGCGGAAAGAAAATTTTGCAATGTTTCCACGCTTTAGGCCCCTAATTAAAATTTCGAAATATTTTCTTCAGAAATAGAACCAAAAGACCATCTACTTCCAGGATATATGGGTTAAATTTCGAAATCAGCATTCAAACAAGGAGAAAACCAGGTTTTAAAAATATGCGTGGACTTACGCCCCCATGCGCGGCACCCGGAGTGGTTAACAGCTATGCGCGATACGCCCCTTATTTCTAACAGACAGGCAGGAGTCTTTCCTCTTCTAGGTATCGCCATCGACAATGTAGAATGTCATTATGCTATCGCTTGATGACGATTATTGTTTTAAATTATACGTTTTCCATTCATTCGCAAGTTTTTGTTCAATACTTTTGTCTGATTAATAGGCCATGAGATAGGTACCTAGGTCAAGGTTTCAACAAACCTTTCAAAGAAAAAGGAGGTCTTCGGTTAGCAGCAAGCCAGTTTTGACGTCCAAAATTATAAAATAAATGCAGCTGGTACGACTTTCACGAATTCTGGTCGTTTTCATACCGGCCTGCCGATGAATGCCAGACTTCAATCGCTGGCACCGGCAAGGAGATTGTCAAATTTAATTAAAGTTGCTGTAGCTTTAAACAAAGCATAGAAAAGCCGCGCATGCAGACGTATCGCAGCTGAACCATCCCCTTCTCGCACCAATATACGCTTCTATGCGCGCTCACAAGGAGAGCAAAATGTAGATACGCCTTTATGGTTTTGCTTAATAACTCAAAAGCTATTCGAATTTGAGCTTAATTCCAGAATAGGCGAGATCGAAAGAGCACCCTCTATTACATAAGAATCGACTAAAAACTCAAAATTTCAAAATTTGCAGTCTCGCCCCCATGCGCGGCAGGCGACGATATACATCGACGGTGAAATTACCATAACACGTATCTCGGTTTGCGGCGTAGTAGACTTCCTGTCAGACTTTATTTGATACATGGAAAATCACTCAACGTCCGCTCTTGAAAACATCCGTAATTTTTCTCCTAAGTGCAAAGAAAGCTCTGTGAAAACCTCGAGGAACAAAATTGATTTGTTCTCTGTCAAAAAAATAAAATGGGAGCGGAGATTATGAAACACCGCAAACGAGATACGTGGCCTGGTAGTTTTACCGTCAATATGAAATTTTTGACCTACAACTAATAAATGGCAGATCGGTTATAGTGAACCAGCATAGTTAGGTATAGCTTTAAATATAATTAGTATTTTTTGCATCAACGCATCGCCAATCATCAATTTAAGTCTGGGATTGTGATACGTTGCGTTTGATCGTGCGTTTCTTCGTGTGCAATGGAAATATTAATCCCTGGACTGCCTGAAGTCACTCGGGCACTGTTGAGTATCCTATGCATCTGCTTGATTCTGATATGGGGCATCAATAAATGGAATAGGAGGCATACGGAGAGACTTGCTTCAAAGTTTCCTGGACCGACAGCTCTACCTATCGTCGGCAACGCCCTGACACTTCTCAACAGCCCTAGTAGCAAAAATACTAGTATCAGATACGGTATCTTCAAATACCGTATTTAATTCGTATGTTATATGTATTTTATACATGTATTAAATACTTGAATCTAGATACAGTATAATATATGTATTTTATACATGTATTAAATATAAGTATTTGGATTCAGTATTTAATATAAATTTTATACATATAAAATAGATGAATTTTATAGCGAAATAAAATTTGTATTTTATATGTATTTAATTTTTCCCCCTGCCCGGCGAGTGCACTCCATGGTGCGTACCTAGGTATCAGTCATGTTCCCCAAGCAGGCCCCCCAGCCACCACATCCATCGGTGGGCCCCGGGGTCGGATCAGTCAGCGGGCCTCTCTTTTAGTAAACTATCTAAGGGGGGTCTGGGGGGACCGCCCCCAGTAGGTGGGGGGTTAGGGAGGCCACCCCCGAAATTTTTTAAAATTTTGCCTCCAGTCTAAGTAATTTTATGCTATTTCCGCACTTATTCAGATTAGTTTATGCAAGATTTTTGCCCTTTCAACATCTCAGAATAATTGTAGTTGTTTGAAAATTTGTAATGAGCCGTTATGAAAAAAACAACATTCAACGTAATTTTTTTTTTACATATATAAAAAAATCATTTTAAACTTAAAAGGTCTTTAATGCCTGAAGTGAACTATTGAATCAGTTCTGACGTGGGTTAACCTGCTGATAATGATGAATTCCTCCGAGAGTTCGTGGAAGAAGTTGTGTTCTTTCATTTTTACAGTTTACTCAGCATCAGCCATTTTTACACGCGAATCTGTAAGTACCACTACTTAGATATGGCTTGTTACATCGCTGACTACAAAAATTATTTAAAAATATAAAAACGCAAATTCAGCTGAATTGAAACCCAGGACGCTAATGTCTAAACGTTCCTTTCGACACTCAGAAAGTTTCAAACGATTTAAAAATAAGACATTTATATGATTCATTTAGAAAAATTTGCTCTCTCCCATAAGAAAAGCATTGTTTCCGACTTTTCTGGTTTTCGCGGCAGTAATGCTGACGTCATGCGCAGAAGATTCTCATTTCGGTTTCGGGAATGACACTAGTCGGACTGACCGTTACGCTAAAGACGAAAGACGCTTGTTGTGGTGGTTGTACCTGTGGAATGTGCTCTGTGGCTGTGAAAGTGAATAGTTTTGTTTTCTACTTGACTTTTAAGTAGTTCTTCCGCCTTGGATTTTTGAGGTAGGTACCTTTCTTAATGTAGTTGACTTTCCTACCTGGGCACCTTGGATTGCTAGTCGTGAATTATGTACATACCGCTGTGGCGCCGGTGGCATGCTCGTTTAGGCCTACAAGCCTAATGCATCGGATCTTTGCCGTTAGACTCGCAAGCACATTCAATGTAGTTTTTTTTAAGCTCGACAGAGAATCGTTTTTATCTCATCATTTTCATGAGGTGACAACAATACCGAACCTAGTTGGCGGATCTCCTGCCCCAATCTTAAGGTGATTCGATGGACGCCATATTTTGTGTCAGAACAGCATGCGATATATCGCATCAATTGGTGCCATTTTTTCAGCTACTCGTCATTTTTCTCCAATTTTGAGATCGCAATTCTGTTGTCAGGAGACTAAAGCACACCAAACCAAACACCAATTTTAACAAAGAAATTCAACGTAATAAAGGCGTGGTTTTTTTAGAGAGAAAATATCGCATTCGAGTGCAGTTTTGATATCAGTATCGAATGCGATGTTTCCTCTCTGAAAAACCACGCCTTTATTTCGTTGAATTTCTGTGCTAAAATTGGTAAGTGAGTGCTTTAGTCTCCTGACAACAGAATTGCGATCTCAAAATTGGAGAAAAATGACGAGTAGCTGAAAAAATGGAACCAATTGATGCGATATATCGCATGCCGCTCTGACTCAAAATATGGCGTCCATCGAATCACCTTAATGGCTGCTTTCTGAATTTGCCTATGGTTAGCCTTGAAATTAAAATGGTTCTATTCTTTTTCATTTATACTGCGCAAGAAGTCCATCAATAATTTGTGATTGTATAGTACCTACGTTTACTTCAAGTTCCATTTTAATTGAAGTCAACTTTGTGACCTCTACGGAGCCCCTCACATCATTCGAACTTCTATCCTTCTCTTGCGTTGCAGTTTTTCTGTTGAAGGGCTGTATTCCATCTCCGCAATTGAGAATATTTCTAATGCTGAGCAAATTGCCGAGTTAAATTTTGCAATAGCTGATGTGGCTTGGTGGCTTTCTGCTTAACGCGGTCCAATAATGCGATGCGAAAGTTTTTGCCGATAGATTGAAAGGGTCCGTTCTGGTTCAAGGACAAATTTCTCGGTTTTAGCGTTTTAATGATTTTCATGTCTAAATTGCTAATGCTGTGCATTGTTTGCCCGCAGATCACTAAATTTTGTTGAATTGAAGAATTAAAGGAGAAAAGAAAGCCAGGTAGCTTCAAAGTGAAAGCAATAACCTAAAATATGGGATCTGCCTCACAACCTGTAGACTCCAATGTCCGTCCTGCTGAGAATGTAAGTTATTTCTTTGTCCTCTCTTCTGTTTCTCTTTTTCCATATCGGTTTGTGCCTGAAAAGCAATAGTTTGTAACAGCAAGACATTTCAATAATAAATTAGGCAAAGGATTATATATAGTACCTATTCAAAGAAAGTTTCTCAAGTGAGGGATGTCATTTCTGTAATAGGTTTCCTTCCCTTTCAGCCATTATTTATTCCCAAAGCAAGAAGACTTCTAAGTATATAACATTTGTCTGAAAAGTTTAAAGCATTCTGATTTGAAGCTCAATTTTAATTTTTCTACAATTTATGTGTGTGGGCTGCCTAATTGTTCATTTTAAGTGTAAACTGTTTTAGACGACTGTGTCAGAGGCTGTTATGAAAACTTCATTGAATATCCCAGAAAATTTACTCACAATCAGATATACTTAAGAAAAATCCATCCCCTACCAAGTACAAGTTACATTCATGTCATTTCTTTCGGCATTTAAATGAGCCAACAATTTTTTAATTTGTTTCCTCTTCCAACTCTACTTATTCAATTTTATTTTAATTTCTTTACAGTTACACCTTTTAGCGCTATGATCTAGGTTTTCCTTGAGAAAAAGAGTTGAAGACTCATTACTTGAAAAGTGTGGCATTTAAATCTTCGACTAAAGGTCTTGTTATTAGTCAATATGAGCAAAAAATTTTCCTGCTACCTGTCGAGCTCAGGCAAACGGTATCGCTTTGAACGACAGCAAAGGAATCACCCAGAGACAGATAGCGAGATGGAAGACGCAACGTCCGAAACTTCAAGTCAATGTGACTCTGAAAACAAATCTTCCTCTTCAACTATTGATGAGCCAAATCTAGACTTCCCTAGCTCCGCTCATAGTGCAGACAATAGTGGAACTTCTCCCTTTGTTGAAGAGCACATTCCACCCTTAGATAATGACTACCATCCTCCCCTTTTTGATGACTTTTCATCTGATGAATCAGAAGTCTCCTCAACTCGTTCAACAGGTGAACAAGCTTCAGATGAATCGAGTGTTGATGTAGATGTTGAGTCTTGTCATGGTGAGGAGCCTCATCAGGATGAGGCAGATAATCCTTGCTTACGGGTTGAAAAGTTTTTGACTGACTGGGCCTTCGAAACAAGCATTAATCAGAAGCAACTGACTAGTCTTTGTCATGGATTGAATTCGGCGCATCCCGAATGTTTCTCCAAGCTGCATTTAGATGCACGTACATATTTTAAGACACCGCGAGGTAAAACTAATGCCCGAGAAATGAATACCCTCAATTCAGAATCAAAAGGGAAATACATACATATTAGCATGAGAAAACAGTTGGAAACGCTAGTTTTGTTGTTACCTGCCCATGTTACAGAATTGATTTTGATCATAAACATTGATGGTTTGCCATTAATTAAAGGCGGAGTGCACGAACTTTGGCCTATCCTTATGAGATTACTTCTGTTGGGAATTTCAGTTCAAGTCATGCCAGTTGGATTGTACTACGGCCCAGGCAAACCTGCTGATAATGATGAATTCCTCCGAGAGTTCGTGGAAGAAGTGAAAGTTTTAGTCCAGGATAATTTAGAAGTCAACGGCAAGACTTATAAAGTCATTGTACCTGGCTTTACATGCGATAGCCCTGCCAAAGCATTATTGCTCGGCATTTGCTATCCGAATGGCTATTTTTCCTGTACAAGATGTCATATCGAAGGAGAAGATTTAAAAATAACAACTGTCCGAGGCGAGAATGTGAAAGTAACTCACAAACGAGTTTTCATTGATACCAACTGTCGTCCAAGAACTGATGCGGAATTCAGAACCAGAACTGACACGGTCTATCAACCTGCAGGACGAGGGACTCCTCTTGTCGAAATTCCAGGCCTCGACATGGTCAAAGGGATTTTTGTTGATTACCTTCATCTGGTGTTGCACGGGACCATGAAGTACTTCTTGACTTTTTGGTTCGGAACAGAGCCCTCAAAATTTAAACTTTCAGCCACTGCCAAGTCAAGAGTCTCCCGCGGAATCAGGAAACTGAATGCTGATGTGCCGTGCGAGTTTGCAAGACAAAAGCCTCGTGAATTAAAAGTGCTCGCATTCTGGAAGGCAACAGAATTTCGTTTTTTTTTGTTGTATTTAGGACCCGTGCTGTTGAAAGACGTTCTCCACAAGCAACAGTACGATCATTTCATCATGTTACATTTAGCCATAACAATATTAGTAAGCCCAAAGTACTGTTCCAATGCTGAACAGATTTCTTATGCCAAAAATTTGTTAAAAAGCTTTGTAGATTTTGCTCCGGAAGTCTATTCTGAAATCATTATGGTCCATAATCTCCACAATTTGATCCATTTAGCGGATGATGTAACTTACTTCCAGCAATTCTTCCCTGGCGTCACTCTTGATACAATCTCTACTTTTTGGTCTGAGAATTTTCTTCAGCAAATGAAGAAAATGAGCAAAGCCCACAGCAAAAAATTAGAGCAAATTGGCAAAAGAATTGGCGAAGCTTTTCAGAGTGCGTTTATGCAAGGTAAAAGAGTGACAGTTCTGTCCAAAGATGTTACATTTAAAGATATCCATACTGATGGGCCATTGCCAGGAAAATGCCGAAGTCCTCAATATAGAACCATACTATTCTCCAGCTTTAAAATCACAACTAAAAGATCTGCTGATAGCATCTGCTTGTTGGATACTGGAGAAGTGATGTGTGTCGAAAATGTTGCGTTTAACGAAGAGCTTCACGATTATGTTGTGATAGGTAACCTTTTTACTGGTCTATCAGATCTTTACTCGACTGTTTGCAACAGCTCTAGGTATGGAATCTATACAGCAAGCGGATTGTCGCCTGTCCTCAAAGTTTATCCTGTTACTGGAATTGTGGGCAAGTACATTCAATTCCATGATGATGACAAAGATGGCTTCTTTTTGTTTCCTGAAATACACACACTGCAGTAATTATGGATCATGGCTGCTGAAGTTATAGTGCAAGCAGATTTTCTTTATGCTCATCTCTATTCGCTGACCTTAAGTTTAAGTTGACCTGCTTATCGGAATTCCTGGCTACATAATGTGATACGATGGTCAAGTCGCCTCAATTCTCACAATTTACTGCTGAAAAAACCTTTATTGCGTCTTTTCATATTCCTGGCAAAGAGTTTACGAATGAACGTTTTTCTTCAAAGAGCCCAGCCCACGAGTCATTGGGTGCCAAACTATTCACTCCTAAATGGTGAACAACAGCTACACATGCCATTACGTCATCTTTAGGTACATCATTTTATTCCCTCACTTTAGTCAGAGATTGATAGAATGTTCAATCCTGTGATGTATTGAATGGTGTGAAAGTGGTAGAAATTGTTTTATTTTGGTGGTGGAAAGCCCTATCTCCTTATTATTTTTTTATCTTTGAGATGCAAACTTTGAACATCTCTTGCTCCATCCTATCTTCTTTTATGATGTACTATCATGAGAAAAATGGGCCTAAAGACAAAGCTTTTAAGTGTAAAACTGAGAGGTTCAGGTTCAATGCTGCACCATGATTTCAATTCGATCCTTGCCAAATTTCATGCTCCCAGATCTGTACATAAAATCCCCTCTGCATCTAGAAACTGTAAATAACTCCCAACAACAAGGTCTTGCTGGCACCAAGACTTTTCAATTTTTAAAGTATCTTCCACTGCAATAATGTCGGCTATATTTTCATATTCGATGCTATGTTGGAATATGGTGGACTTAACCCACCCTCCTACCTAATGCAGAATTTCTAAGTCGGAGGAAGTTTAAAAACTTGGGTATTCTTCGCGTATTTTCAATCCTTGCAATCTGACTTCTTTGTTGCTCAGTATTTCACATCATCCTCTGAGCAGAATGAGTTTTGAAGGCGGAATCTTCAGTTCAGTGCATGTGAATGATTACTTTCGACTTTTTCTTCAATACCTTTTTTTAACGCACACTACCCTGGGTGTCTGTGTACAGTTTAAGCACATATCTCGGGTTTCGAGTAAAGGGCTTGATGGGGATCAATGCTCTTTGCTTATGCCTATCTTTTCTGTGATTAATCTTCGATATCTCTGCCTTGCAATTTGGCCCAATTTAAGTCACCAGAAATAACTAGTGCTTTTTTATTCTTAGGCCCTCATCTAACCGCCGCAATTTCTTAGAAACCTATTTCAATCATCCAATAATATAATGCTTTACTTTCTGCTCGGTGTTTTCTTTATTTCTTGGCGTAGGTGATGACTTAGAGAAGGGTTGAATTTTCATTTTCTTGTTTTTTGTTGGAATCCCACGGTTATTTTCAAAATATTTTCTCATTACTTTTTCAACAAATTTGACAGCTCTTTCTGGTATTTGACATTTATTCTTTTTTCGGGGTACAGTTCTTTCTGTCAAGTAATGACCTATTTCACAAAATTATGAATACCATGACCGTGATCGGCTCATGAATTACTGTTAAAATAGTACAGTGCAGCCACATTAATGATTCTAGCCATGATAATGTGCAAGGTGAAACAGGTACTTAATAGGTGTAATATGAATCCTCTCTGAAGATAATCAAAACTTATTTATGTTTATTACAGTGACCAAAGTTAATTCTAATATCACCTTCAGGCTAACAAGGGCTCTGGAACAGTTCAAAATATAGCTGGCCAATTGAGGTCTCGTCACCTTACTGAGAGCCATTCCATTTATATCTTCTGCCCCTCAAACTCAGCAAGCAATTCTTGGACTGTAATGCTCTCCTTTTTTTATAAGTGTTGTAAATTGTTACTATCTCTGATTTAATTTTCATTTTTATTTCAGGAAGTTTGGTACATCGTGAAAATAGCAAATCCAAAATGCGACGACTTAGATGTTATTCCAAGTAATTGGCTTGTAGACAAAACTAAATGTCATTATCCCCCTGCAATGGCGAAATACAGGGCAAAGAGAAGACTTATTTCCCAAGATTGGGAAATCATGAACATAAAGACGACTTCAAAGCCATATTGTAAGTATGCCCTTCCAGCACTAGGATGACACTGTTAGCTATCTTATTGAACGCAGAAATAGAGCTGTGCTGAGCCATCTTTCTTCAAGACTAGTTGAACGGCTTTGACAGAAATCAGCCCAACTGCACATCATTTAGCGTAACTTTCTGTCACTTCCTATTTTCTAACATAATGCATTAAATTTTTTTTCAAATTTTTCTTATTTTATGAAGAATATACTCACTGAAATTTAGGAGAGACTGAAGGTGAGTTTTCTGTTTTAAGAATCAGATATTAGAAAATAAGGTAATAAGTATTGCAGTTGCGCTGATTCTGGTTAAATTGTAAAAATCGAATTATTGATGGTTTGAAATTTCTAGCCAAAGCAAATTGTTTTTGAAAAAGAACTATGGAAGTTTTTTTTGCCATGTACCAAGTTCAAAATTCTTGGATTATAGTATTGCTTTCTGTCCTTTACCAACACAGTTGCCATCTTGTTTTACATTCCTCTCTGAGTACTCCATTGACAGAGACCAAATGGCGCACTGAATCAGAAAGCAGTATATTTTTTGTTGTTGTTCTAGAAGAGTACAAATTACATGCCTTGGCAGTCATATCTCCCCTTACTTAAGTCGTCTCAGCTTTTTGGAGCACAATGGCATGAGTCAGTGGCCGGTGTTCAGAATCACCTTGAATATCATGCCAAGAAAAATGTACAATTGCAAATGTCTCAAAGTTAATCACAGTCTGTATTACAGGTGATTATGATTCTGCAATGACAGATTGTATAAGGCTCCTCTCTGGAAAAAACACACAAAGTGCGAGTGATGCTGAACCGAAAGGACTAGGTTGCCGCAAAAAAAAAATAACCCATGTGTTTTCACCGCAGGCTTCGCCGGTGAAAAAAAAGGGTAAAAAAGGATCTGCACCACTTACTGACCAGATACTTCAAAGAGAGAATAACATTTCTCAGAAAAAAAGTGGGAAATTAGTTTTTCCAACTCCACCGTCATTAGGAAAACCCGCCCCTAAGAGTAGTCTGTCACCGTCAATTCTGGAAGAGTACAAGGCTCCCAAAAAGCAATTATTTTCAGTAGACATTTTTGACGGGTGCAAAGAAGATCTTTTTATAAAACCCTCTTGCAACAACAAGCTCAAAACTGGAAAGTGTGGTCAGATGGAGAAACCTGCCCCTAAATGTACTCCGGCATCGTCTACTCAAAAAGAAAACAAGGCTCCCAAGAAGCAATCATTTTCAGTAGACCTTTTTGACGGGTGCGAAGAAGATCTTTTAATAAACCCCTCTTGCAACAACAAGCTCAAAACTGGAAAGTGTGGTCAGAAGGAGAAACCTGCCCCTAAGAGTACTCCGTCACCGTCAATTCTGAAAGAAAACAAGGCTCCCAAAAAGCAATCATTTTCAGTAGACCTTTTTGACGGGTGCGAAGAAGATCTTTTAATAAACCCTTCTTGCAACAAGCTCAAAAGTGGAAAGAGTGGCCAGAAGGAGAAGCCCTCAGGTGACGACAATCCAGTTAACAAAGGATCAGATTATGCATGCAGCATCAGGCACAAGCTGATTCCGTGTGCCAATCCTAGTGGGGACCCCACATTAGCTGATATGGCTCTCACGATCTGTGCCATAGCAAGTGAGTGAGACCATTCTATTACTCAATTATTTCTGCACATCAAGGAAGGATGTGTACGAGAAATTTGATAGAATCCTTTTTTTTTTTTTTTTTACTGACAAGCAATTTTGAAATTTCTATCAGTAGCAAGCTAATAAATTGGGAAATCTTCTCGATAAATTCACCTCACTAAGTATCAAAAGTGTATCAACAAGAATTGTTGGATGCTTTCATTTGATAGTAGTTGCTCAAATGTCTTCATATTTTTCCTTTTAATTTCAAAGCACCCCAGAAAAATTGCCCACCTATTTTTCTTGGTATTTTAATTTTCACAGAAGTGCTCATGGTAACCACTATTTGTCTAGTTCCAACAACTTCAAATCAAACATGGAAGCAAGAAACTAGAAACTTTTTTCAGTGATTCAGCTCTTTTAATTTTCTATCGCTGGTGACTGCCTTACGAAGAGTCCTTCTTTTATCGAAAAATCAGAATTCTACTTATCATTGCTGCATTTACTGCTCCCCGCGTCAGCCCAATGAATTAAATGTAATGCTGCACCTAATCTTACTAGGTTCTTTCTTTTATGCTCCTCAGAACAGGTAGAGAGCCTCACCCGAATGATGGGGAATATGCAAACGGATGTAAACATTCTAGCTACACAAGAACCCATGAAGGAGAAAAAGAAGTCTAGCAGCAAGGAAGTCTTCGATGCTTTGCCATTTTCAGATTTCGAAAAGCTCATCGAATTCGACGATAAAATCAGGGCAGACAGCAAGTTATCTGAAAAATTGGTAATTTTACTCTTCTTCTATCAGTGGAACACTAGATCAGGGTTTGTAGTTCCTGAATTATCTGAAAAATAAATGATATTTGATTATTATATGGTGAATACCGAAGAAGTCAATGTCACAAAGACATGAAGCTCCATTTTACTGAAAGTCACTGAGAGGTGAAGTTTCTTTTTGATGAGGGTATTGTTTCAACCAGTGCTGTTAATGGGTCTTGCTCCATACATTTATATCTACTGATAAACTGAACTTTAAAGAAGAATAATGGTTTGGTGACAATTCTTAGGCATAATTTTTCTTTACTGTAGGATGAGCCGCCTATTTCAAAGACTATTTTTATGGTCTATTTCATCATTGACAAAAAAATTGGTGATATTTTAGCCACTGTGCGTTAATTCAGCATGAAGCTGAAAAATCTCATTACAGAGGCAAAATTTCGATCGAGCGAGCAGGATTTCTCTCAAAGAGGGAAAATCCCCCCCCCCTTTTGTTTGTTATTTCATCATCATTGGTTTCTTTGAATAATTTTTTAATTTTGTATCCTTCTCAGGTCAGTTACCTCTACAAGGAGGTTGACAAGTCAGCCGTTAGCAAAATGGCGCGGGATGTTGTGAGAAGCATCATAACCCCAGAACTTTACCCTAAGATAAACCTCCACGGCAAGGGAGACTCGAACAAGGAAGGTTGGACAGAGTTCCACATGTTCCAAGTGCAGCAAAGTAAGTTTTTAACATCTGCCTTTTTTCGAGTTTCAGCCGTCGGGACCACCTGCAGAATCTCCCTTTAGTAACTTTTACTGCCCATGGTGATGGTTGAGCTATTTACCTTAGGTTCTTGACATTTTTCTAAATTACCAGTTCTTTTCAGTTGACTGTGATCCACCAACTATTGAAAAGTCTTTAATGTTTTGAAGATTGTACATATCTGTGCTCAAAAGAACAACATGAAAATGAATTAAGTAAAAAGATCTTTTTGCTGGGGAATCGCATGCTACATCTTTCCTCTTGTTGTATGATTTTTACATTGTTCCTTTTAGTTTTAATAAATTCAATATAAAACTGCCAGAGCCTCATCGTTGACATTTTAAACAATTCAAAACTCACTTCTAACACTTTCAACCATTTTACATTTGTATGTCTTCATACACTCATGTAGAGATGATGGCTCTGTCTTTCTAGTCATTGACATTGTCGCTATTTCCTTCCTGATTTTTCTGAACGATTAATGAAATCTGAAACTAAACGTTTTGGCTCCCCCAAACCTCTCTTTATTTTTTGAAAATCATTTCTTTTCTTCCATTCTTTCTCAGGTGTGGTGTCCAAGAAATTCGGGGAGTCAGATCTGGTGATGAAGCAGCTCAAGGCTACCACAGGTCTGCTCTTGGTCCAGGAGGCTGGAAAATTTTTAAAGAAACTGAGTCTTCGGTAAATACTTATTTTATCTCCTGTATGTAATGAGCCAATTTCTTCAAATTTTCTTACTGCATCATGCATGCATGAGTCCCATGTGAACTGATCTAACAATTAGTTTCTCTCTCTCCCCCTCTTCACCCCCCCCCACCCCCCAGTATTTTTACGTCAACCCGGCGGCAAGTTCATTTAAAATTGCATGAAACTATGGTAGCCATAAAAGAGGTTTGAGTAATATGCTCTTGCATTGAGGGCAGTTTGTCACTTGAGAAAGATGATCCGTGATGGAAGAAGTTGCATTGCCACGGTAGTGTGAGATTTTTGGTACACTTCAACTTAAAATTTTAAGTTCTTTAGGGCCACTGCTGTCACCCTGTTTGTATGATGCACTGTGCCAGTTTTGTGAAAATTTCCGTTCAAAAACGTTTTAAACGCCCTCACCCTCCCATTAATAAATACAGTCATCATCTACATCTGATGGTAAAATTTTAATCAGTTTGCCGAAAATGAGCTTTCAGATAAGCCCTCCATTTATTGATCGTGCTTTTTGTATTTTTCCCATGCCAGGCCAGCTTCAACGCCACTCAATGATATCTTGCAGTCAGCTCCAACGCCACTTGACGAAATCATGCAGCCAGTTAATGTCAGTGATGATGAAGAATCTGAAGTACTCAGCGATAGCACACCAGTACCTAGCGAGAATGACTTCCTCAGTGACCCAGATGATGATACATGCTTCGTAGAAGGAGAAATTGCCTAAATGGTCATGATTTCTCAGTAGTTACTTCAAGTTACTGAATAGTTATTTCTGAGTCGTGTATTTAAATGTTACGAATTTTTTTTTTTCGTTTTCTCCTGAAAAGTTAAAACTTTTTAAAAATGAAAGGTGTTCAAAAGTTGTTCACTAACGAACCAGCCTTTCTTTTTTCCCGTATTATTGAGCTATCTCATAGCAGCTCACGTACAAGCAGCATTCCTTTTCATGTTTTCTCTTCTTATACTTAATGAGACCAATTGGACTGCGTTAAACAGAAAGGAACCAAGCCACATCAGCTTTTGCCAAATTAAACTGAACAATTTAATT